TATGGATCTGAGGAGTTGTAATTGGATGGTCCCACTCTGACCACTGGGTACACTGGCTCTTGGATCTAAGGAGGGGCTAATCTAGCCTCTGCCTGAGGCTACCCAGCAGGAGCTCAGCTGTGAAGCAATGAGAGTTGCCTTGGGGCCTTGGGCCTTCTTTTGGAAGTTCTGGGTCTCTCTGACCCAGCTGCAGTTTGTTAGGTAATTTTCAGATTGCAAAGGGCCAGGTCTTTCATATGCAAAAGCCGGCGCACACAGCTTGGGCGGGGCGGGGGTCCCAGGGGATCAACAGGGCGGAGCAAGCAGCTATGGCTGCCCTCAGAGGCCCCGCTTCTCAGTGTCCCGGCAATCACTGCCAGCACCTCCGAGAGAAAGCCGCCCTCGAGTTCCGACCGATGCCAGACAGTCCAGTTTCTCCCGTATGAGTCTGGGTCCCCAGAGACTCGCCTGCCAGCCCTCTCCGCATGCGCCTCCGTACCTCTGTATTTTACTTCTGCACCGCACCTCCTCTGAGTCTCGGTATGCTTTTCTCTTTCCTTCTAGTTGTAGAATTTCCACTCAGCCACCCTTCCTGTGGTTCTGGATTATGTCCATTTTGTCTTTTAGTTGTATTTTTGAAGTGGTTGTGTGAGGCAGCAATTTCCAGTGTTTACCTATGCCGCCATCTTGGTTTCCTCCGGTGATTCACTTCTTATTACTGTGCTGCAGGAGTTCTTTATTTTGAATGCAAAGCCTTTGTCAGGTACACTTACTGCTAGTGTTTTCTCGGAGTTTGAAGTTTGTGTTTCCATGTTATCTTTTGAAGAACATCGCTAATGTTGAAGTCCAATTATAATTTTTCTATGATTAGTGCTTTTTGTGTGCTAAGGAATTTTGCCTTTTTCCTGTATTTTCTTTTTTTTTAAATTTATCTTTATTGTTGAAAGTATTACAGATGTGTATCCCCCCATGGACTCCCTCTACCCCACTCCCGCCCCCAGGCCTTCCCCGCACTATTGTCTGTCCATGGGCTGTGCATCTATGCGTAGAAGCTCATTGTTCAGTGTCTTCCGCCCCGGAAGTTGCATAGCATTTGCTGTGCGACGCATCCCAAGTGCCCTCCCGTCTGGTGTGCAGCATGCGGAGACCCACACAGGTGCCCCCTGACTGACACTCCCTTTCCCCATGGAACTGCCTTGGTCACAATGTCAGAAATCTGTGTGGCAGGGGGATTCTGTCTCCCTGTGCTGCTGGCCTCCCTCGGAGGAGCTGAGTTCAGGCTGACTTCAGAGAGCGAGTCCCTCCACCCACACGACCTTCCCTCCCCAGGGGCCCAGGTGGACCAGTCCGTGTTTGAGGAGCTCATTCAGGAGCAGCTGCCGGAGCTGGCGGATCGCCTGCAGGACCCCTCGGCCCTGGCGTCCCTGTCACTCTCCTGGTTCCTGACGCTCTTCCTCAGCATCATGCCCCTGGAGAGCGCCGTGCACGTGGTCGACTGCTTCTTCTACGACGGCATCAAGGTCGTCTTCCAGCTGGGGCTGGCCGTGCTGGAGGCCAATGCCCGGGCCCTGTGCAGCAGCCGGGACGACGGCCAGGCCCTCGTGCTCCTCAGCAGGTGCGCCCGGCTGCGGGCTGTGCTGTGCGGGACGAGGTGGGCAGGGGCTATGTCTGGAGGCTCCTGCCCCTCAGCCATTTGCCCCCAGGTGTCCCCGCCTCCCCTCCCTCTTCTTGGCCAAGCGGGAGTCCAGCCGGCCGAGAAAGGGCCTCTGGCTTTCCTCGGAGGAGATTCAAAAGTCTGGAGTGTAGATGGAACCTAGTGGCCTGACTGGGCCGCGGGCGGGGGAGGGGCGCCGGGGTGCCCGGAGCTGAGGGGAGTGGGCTGGCAGGTCCCTTTCGAAAGCTGTGGAGCCTGAGCACCTGTGCACGGATCCTGTGCAGTCACCAGAGAGCGCACAGCCTGCGACCAGAGAGCCCAGTCGGCAGGTCTGGCTCAGGCTGCCTTTCCTGCCCCTTAGTGGCACCGGGGCTGCCCTGCCCTCTCCCGGGTCAGGGAAATGAGCTGTGGCCGGTGCTGAGCCACGTCTCAGGCCTGTGACCGGCGAGGGCAGCTGGCTCACCGTGGGGCTGTGCTCAGGTTTCTAGATCACATCAAGAACGAGGACAGCCCTGGGCCCCCCACGGGCAGCCACCACGCCTTTGTCTCCGAGGACCAGGAGCCTCCTCCGGTGACGGACATTGGGGACCTGATCCGCGACTCCTATGAGGTAGCGGGGCCCTGCCTGTCCCGCCACCCGCAGGCACCGCTGGGGAGACGGGACGGGCTGCAGGGGCGGCGGGGCTGTGCCCTCGTGCCCAGGAGGGACCCTCTCCCTGCAGAAGTTCGGGCACCAGTCGGTGGGGCAGATTGAACGCATGCGCTGCAGGCACAGGATCCGGGTCCTCCAGGGCCATGAGGGCACCACCAAGCAGAACGTGGTGAGTGAAGCCTCCTCCATGGGGCCCCCTGTTGGCCTCCAGCAGGAATACCAGCTTTCTGCCCTGGCCCATGGCTCGGTTGGTTGGAGCTGTCAGCCGATGAACTCAAAGGTGGTGGGTTCGATTCCCAGTCAGGCACATATCAGGTTAAGGGTTCAATCCCTAGTTGGGGCGCTTATAGGAGGCAACTGATCAATCAGAAACATCACATTGCTGTTTCTCTCTCTCAAATTGATAACCATGTTTTGGGGTGAGGATTAAAAAAGGGTGCCAGCTTTTCCCCGTTGAATTAAGACCTTCATAGAGGTGGCGTGGTGAGCATCGGCACGGGTTTTAGTCAGACAGATGGGAGCAGAGGGCCCGCTGGAGCCTCAGTCCCCCTGTGGAATGAGGACAGTGGCGTGGTGTGGGCCGGAGGAGGCGGCACACAGACATCCGGGCCCTGGCCTGCGTGCTCCTGGACCGCCCGCCCCGCCGTCCAGCCAGGCCAGGGTTGAACTCCACAAGGTCACCTTGGCCAGAGGCCTGTGTGTCTGGAAGGGGCGGGGCGGGGGGCAGACCCCACTCACGCCTTCGCTGTCTGCTCTCCTGCAGCTCCGCGTGGTCAGCCCTGAAGTCTCGTTCCCCCTTGGCGACCTCGAGGAGCTCTATGACTTGTTCAAGGTGCAGGTCCGGGAAGGGGAGGGAGGGACAGGCCCGAGCCAGGCCCGGCCACTGTGTCAGCCTGCCCGGGTGGCGTGTGGGAGCTGACCTGGGACAGCAGAGGCTGTGGCCACCCTGCCTGCTGTCCACCTGCCCTGCCCCCCCCACCCGCCCCTACCCTCGCTGCTGCTTTTCTACACCAGGTTCCCGGTCCCATCAGATGGAACAGGGGCCCACAGAGACCATCGCTTCATATACGTTTCCATTACTTATAATTCTCACATGTTCCTAAACATCTACACCTATTCCTATATTTATGTGGTTGGTATGCATGCCACATACTCTTAATATTTTTTAAATAACTTTATAATCTATCGTATTTGTAATAATATGCTAAACCATGTTTCTACTATTTGGTTATTTAGGTAGATTCTCAGGTGTTGCTACCTATGCTACAAAGAACATTTTTTTGTTGTTAAATATGTTTTTTATTGATTTGAGAGAGAAAGGAAGGGAGAGGGAGAGAGAGAGAATCATTGATTGCTGCCTTCTGCACACCCCCCACCGGGGGTCGAGCCTGCACCCCGCACATGTAGTGGGGGTTCTGTACACCGTCCCCCATGAACATCACCTGTTTTCAAGTCTCACCGTTTTTCCTGCTGGAGGAAGAGGAAATACGAAGTCAAAGGTGACTGGGTGTCCCAAGTCCTCTAACTTCGAGGAGAAGCAGGGACACGTGAAACGGGAAGCGACTGTGCGCTTCAGCGTCTACAGTCGTTCATCTATTCAGGGTCAACTATTCTCAATTTGGGAGAATACGTGATGTCACAAATCTGGATTTATGTAATGTAAACGATTGCTTTAAATTCACATTTCACTAAGTACTAGTCATGTCATTCATCTTTAAAGAGTTTTAAAGGAGGTAGAGCTGACTGTTTCTTGTTTCCTGTTTCCATATTTCCTGTGAATGATGTGACTGGTACTTAATGAAATTCATTTTCATATTAGCCCTGTAAGTCTTTCATTTTTGTAAGACTAAATACAAATAGAAACTTAAAATAACTTTGAAAATGTACCTCCAAAGGAAATGCCAGTGGAATAGTGTCATGTCACGGTGCCCAGTTCTGTTGCACAACCTGGTGCCTCCTTTGTCCCACCAGCCTTCCTTCGAAGCCCAGGTCAGCATCCTGCTCCGCAAGCAGCCCTCTCAGCGGTCCGTTCTCCCCGCCTCTGACCTGAATGTCCTTGGCTTTCAGCCAGACTTCTCACGTTTCAGTGCTTGATCTTCTCTGGTTGGATTTTGCATGCACCTCTTGTCTTTTGAGTCAGACTTTTATTTTGTTGAGGGAAAGGCCTTGAGGAGGTGGGTTCAGGAGCCCTTGCTCAGCATCATGGATGGCACCTCCCTGAGCCTGGGAGGTGCAGGTGCGACCATTGTGTCTGTTAACAAGAGTCAACTCTGATTGCCATCTTTACATACTGTTTCCTATTGAAGACGAACCGTGTGGTTGGTACTTAATGAAATCTATTTTTACTGTTAGGTTGAAGCAATCTTTTAATCCCCTAAGGCAGTGGTCAGCAAACTGCGGCTTTCGAGCCACATTCGGCTCTTTGGCCCCTTGAGCGTGGCTCTTCCACAAAATACTGACTTCTGCGCATGGGCCACGAAGTCTCAGTCGCACTGTACGTGCGCGCCCGCAGGTGGTATTTTGTGGAAGAGCCGCACTCAAAGGGCCAAAGAGCCGCATGTGGCTCGCAAGCCGCAGTTTGCAAACCACTGCCCTAAGACAAGTCTGGTTCTTCCTTTCATTTTTATTGAGATACTAGTGTCCTGGTGCACAGATTCAGGCACATTGAAAGGAAATTAATTAGAAGAAATATTTTAATATCGCTATTCGCCCTTTCTCTATAATAAAAGTGTCAACCAAATTCATGATTGACAATGACAGATCGAAACACACGCGTGCGATTGGCGCCTGTGAGAGCTTTATATGTATCTCACATGCACAAGTCAACTTAGCCTTTTATCTATAACTAGAGGCCCGGTGCACAAAAATTTGTGCACTCGGAGGGTGGGGGAGGGGGGTCCCCCAGCCCGGCCTGTGCCCTCTCGCAGTCTGGGACCCCTCGGGA